CATGAAAAAGAGATGAGGAAGACACGATTATGCTGTTGATTGATTTGGTGCACTTAACCTGTTTTACTGTTCTTCAGCCACAGGTTCTCCCACCTAACATGCTGTTTCACATGGATATAGCAAAGATGAAAGCACAGATAAGGATTTTTCCTTTGACTGCACAACCAACGACAGAGGTGCCAGAAAAGGCACATCAAAACAGTTCAGTTGGTTTAAAAAAATTGTACTGCATTTCAGTGTTTAAACATTTTTCAAATCTAAGGTTTACAACAGGTTTACTTACTGTCCACTACTTAGCTTGTCTCTAATGGTGGAGAAGTCCATAGGTTTTTTAATAACTTTCTTATAACCAGGAACAAGTTTCAAGTTTACAGGAAGTAAGAAAGGCCAGGCATCTTCATGGGTTTCCAGCTCTGACAGAATCACGCTGAGTAAAGTAAGATTTAAAGTCAGTACTTTTAAGCTGTTCATATACTTACAGAGGTTTTCCACTGTTCCCTAATTCACCATGTACTGCCACAACTATTCACTTTATAAAAGGAAAGCACTTTATCCTGTGCAAGGCTGAGAACAATGTACACACAGACATCTTAACTGAGTCATTAAAATAGCATTAAATTCTCTCCAGCAACCCATGCAAGATGAAATTCCAATCATCAGCATTCCAGAAGAAAAACAGCCCTGCAACCTCCATACTTTGACCCTCAACATAAACCTTTTGCAAACCAGTAAAATAGGTGCTAAAACTGACTTTCCAGAACTGTGACAAGGCTAAACTATGTCACTTTTGACTGCCCAGCAGTGCTACCACAGGGGATTGCTCCTGTGTCCTCCAAGAATGAATGCGCTTCGGACATTGTGGACCATGGGAAGGTGTCAGCACCACTGCTACTGGGGTTATTCTTCCCCTTCTCCTTGGAAGGAGCATTCCTCCAGCATGCACACATGATTATTCTAGAGGTATAATGTTGTAGTATCAATAGAAATACCTAACAAAGAGTACCATTCCT